CTGGTGCCTGCCCTGCGCTCCTCTGGCATCAGCCTGCAGCACCGCACTAGAATTTGGCGAACCTGCGTGCACTCGGTGCTCATGCATGGCCTTGACAGTATCGGTCTCTCTCCGGGGGGCGCCACCAAGCTCCAACAGCATGTTGCTCGACAACTTCGCATCCTTAGCAAGGCACCATCTTTTATCACACATGAACCGACCCAAGACCTGTATGCACGCCTGCAGGTAGAGGAACCTGTACAGCAGCTGCTAGGAAGGGTGCAGAGGCGCATTCACACTTGCAACAGCAATGGTATGATCAACTTGCAACCCGAGTTAGTCCACAAATGGTGGCAACAGCTAGAGCAAGGCCTACAAGCTGCAGTACAAGATCCCATGCAGAGACAACATACAGCGCCAATGCGGGCTCCGGTCCGACTGGTGGCCCTCACATCTAAGGTTGCTCCAAAAGCCTGTTCGAAGTGCGGTTGTTACTTTCCTAGTATTCGCACGCTGAGAATACACATTGCGCTGAAACACCCGAATCGCAGTAGCCAGCAACCCTCACCTGCCAAGCGCACATATGCAGTCATGCGCAGAGAGTACATGACACATTGTGTCCATGGCATGCCCACATGTGCACACTGTCAATGGGAGTTCACCAGCTGGGCCTCGTTCTGTATGCACTTTGAGAAGCGCCGCTGCCCTGTTTTCCATCATGGTGATCTGCCGGCTGGCACTGCTGGGACAGGGCTGTCCGAGAGTGCTACCGCTTCGGAGCCCAAGGCTCCACCAAGCACTAATGATAATGAAACTCCTCTCATCAACATAGACCCTGTGCAGCACCGAACCTCTGACCCTCAGCCTGTCTCTCCAATCCCAGCGCCAGCAGCAGAAGCCTGTGAGCCCACCCTGCCGGCGGACGATGAAAATCTCCGAATGGCCCGTCAGCTTTTTCCCCAGGTACCGCGAGACATGTGTCAACTTGCGATCTCTTCACAATGGCAGCAGTTAGCGGCTAGAGTTAAGCACACGGACCTACAGCTCTGTCTACTTTGCGGTCAATGGTTGGCCCGCCCCACATACTTTTCCCGGCATCTTAGTGCTATACACCCCGAAACCTTTGGTTTGCATACCGCGGTTCTGCAGTGGCTTCAAGATCGCGCAACGGCCCTGCGCTGCCCCTGCCAATTCTGTGGCTGTGACTTTAAGGCCAGGCACTGCAGTCGTCCCAGACACGCTAAGGAGTGCACGGTTCTCTACAGAGTAGGACTGCTTCTTAAACTGTTGGGCAAGCCCACTGCAAACTGCACGCTGCAACAGGCCTTCCAGCATGGATCTCGCCCCCGATGCACTTCGAGGGGGAGCTCGGACTGTGGCGGAACAGGAGCTGATGTCAGCGGAGGCCCAGGCGTCTCTTCTGTCATCAATGATGAACAAAGGCCCTGCTCCTTCGACGCCCCCGGGGCCACCGGACAGTGGCCTGCCTTCTGCGACCAGCACCAGAGCCCCGACGACACCGACACAGGCACCGGGGGAAACGGTGGAGACTCAGGAGCCAATGGACTCTGCACAGCGCGAGACCAAGCGCTAAGTGGAGGTGTTGGAGGAGGAACTGCAGACCGGCAACGGCAAAGGCAGGGACAAATGGCAGCGTCCCCAAAGCAAAGGCAACTCTCGTTCCGGCGAGGGGAACTGGGGAGGAGGATGGGGCCGGGATCACCAGCCCGCAGCTCCGCGCCGGTATCAGCAGCAAAGCCGCCAGTGGAACCGGGACAGGGACTGGGACCAGGACGATCGGGAGGAGCGGCCTCTGGATCGGGCGACGGAGAAGAAGCTCTTCTCCTTGTGTCTGTCAATGAGCAGGTTGATGATGAGGCACGAAGATCAGTTGTCCATCAACCGGGCGCAGGACAACTACGTCATGTTTGCCCAGACTCAGGGAGTGTTATCGGCCGTCCCGGAGCTCTTCAAGGCGACAGAGGCCTGGCGCCAGATGAAGAAGGACCAGCCGGAGCTGCTCACCCTTCCCCTCAGGACTTGGATGCTGAAGCACTGGGTGGACTTGATGCTGACAAGGATGGAAGCTGTGATGCAGTCCGAGCGCTCCATCCAGCAGGCGAAGGAAATGCTCGTCCTGGACGAGTCCTGCAACGTTCCATACCTGGAATGGGATGCCTCAGCACGCCAGTTGCGGGTGAAACGGGACAGGGACCCCATGACCCTCTCCCAGGTCCTCGAGCTCTTGAAACAGATGCAGGTCCTAGTCTTGCAGCCCCT